ACAGCACAAATAGAATTTTATTTAGTGGAAATAAAATTTTTATTTGAACCATATAAAATTTATTTGGCTCTGAGATAAATATATCTTTTTCTCTGAGGGGATATAGATAGAATATTAAAAAAAAATGCCTTTTAATTACAAAAATTTTTCCCTATACTGCTTTAAATACTTTCTCATTATGATGAGAATGTAAAAAAAGCGCACTTTAGAAAATTTTTTCTGCAGAAATTTAGCGGTAAATCAGGACTTTTAAATAATTTTTTAAAAACTGCCATTAACTCAATAATCTACTCCTATAATAAAAAAAATGTTTTTAATGATCACTTGCACAACAATTTAAAGAAAAATTATTAAATTGCCCTAATAGTAGCCATTTTCTCTTCTTCTCTTTTTAAAACCACCTCTAAATTCAAAAATCACTTTAAAACTTGAGTATTTTCAAAAATCTATCTTTTAATTAGAATTTATTTAATTAAATTCTAAGATTCCTGATTAGAACTCATATAAAACCCTCAAATTGTTTTAACAAAACCACGTATTAATTAATAATTTTTTTTCTATTTCATTAGAAATTCCATTTATCCAATGTCTGAAAAAAAGTCGTAAAAGATATATTTCAGCGCGAATAAAAACCAAAAATTTCCATGACGTCAAAAATGTTTCCATATATATATTTAAATCATATTTGACATTTGAAAAAATTTGTCCTTAATTTTGCTAAAAATGTATTTATAATTAAAACAATTGTTTTCATCTCTTCTATATATACAACAGATACGTAGGTTTTGAAATGAAATACTAACAATCCATTTGTTACTTGATTGCTTTAGAATTTCAAATTTTTATTAATTTTTCTTCTATTCCCTTAATCAAAATATGAAACATTCAAAGAACAAAAATATTTACAGTAAATAAAATAATCCCTCGACTTATTTATATGAAACAAATATGAGAAAAATCTTTATATATAAGCCCACGTTAAAAATATTTTCCAAAAATAAAATATAATTTTTTTTGGATACTTTTCAAATGAATATTTAGTATAGGTAAATTTTAATTTACTTTGAAATTTGGAAAACAATTTGTTATTTGATTGTCTTTTCGATAAATTTTGTTAGGTATTTGAAATTGAATTTGCATGGCACATGAACATAACATTTTATATTGTTAAAAGTTTAGTTGTTTGAAGGAAAATAAATTTTCATTTTTATAATATAATTGCAATTGAATAGAATTTATTGATTTTGAGATTTAAGAAAGTTTTCCGAGAATTGAGATCAAATGGGAATTTGTGAAAATTTATGTTCGACTTGGCGACGACAAAGTGTATATATGTGTATATGTAGAGAACTGATCATAGAATCGGTGACGGTTTTAATACTATGCAAATGAAGCAGTCGATTTGAGACCTTATTACGAATGGATAGCATTTCTTACAACTTGTGCATGTCCCATCGAATGAAATGCACATATATTTTTACACTCGAGTGCATTTCTCGAAGTTATATATAGGTATTTGAAATTTATCCCGAAATCATGGATGGTACATTTTCCTAAGTACATACGTATACATACACGTATGCTTTTTGTCAAAAAGTGCTTTGCTTATCGTTTATTTTTCAACATTCATTCAAATGAAGAATGATCAAAAACGAAACCAGTTTCACGGTGCCATTTTTTATTCTCTCGATGGAAAAGCGATTTTATGCATACTGGAAAATATATATTTTACTTTGTGCAAATGATAACATGTATATATATTTCACTTCAAAGAGAAATATTTCAAGTTGTGTAATGAAATAAATGAAAAAGCAAGACTGGCGTTTAAAAAAAATGAACAAATTACTTTTTATTACTTTGCTGACATTTTTCATTCTTCTTTTTTTACACGCAGAAAAAAAGAAATGTTGTCTTTGTTGTGTGTTATTTATTTTTGAATTTGAACCATTTTTTACACGGAGAGAAATAGATGGTACGGGGTACTATCTAAATAGTAGCAGGTATCATATTTGATCTTACATATACAGACAGGAATCTAGATTGTACGGGATACTATACATATTGTACGAAGTACCATCTTGATTGTAAAGTGGGTTACATAACCTCACTTTTTTAACATCTAGATGGTACCGAGTAGCATATAGATTGTACCGGATACCATCTACTTTTTACCATCTTAAGATCATAATTTCTTACCATCCATTTCTCTCCGTGTAACCAATTATTACACAAAAAATGTATAAAAAGCATATATTTTTATTATGAATATTATTAAAATAGTTTCAAGAACTTTTTTTAATATTTCAATAGTATAATTTTATTTATAATTTTATGGTATATTTTTATTATATATTATAAATTATTCGTATTTAAATATATCACAGAAAATTAAAAGGCATTAAAATAAGCTGCAACGCTTATTATTTTAATCCATTTTGGTATTAAAATAAGTAAAATCGAATTAAAATAATAAGCGTTGCAGCTTATTTTAATACCTTATAATTTTCTGTGATCTTATTTTCAATTTTTTTTTTCAAGCAATAAGCTAAATAATTACTTTTAAATGATTCTTTTCGAATAAATTTAAATTTTGATTTCCTTTTTTTAAAGATATTTTAGCATAAGCTAAATATTGATTTGTTTTATTACATACGACTGATTCTGTTAAAAAAATAAATGATTTAATAGTCTATTTATCAAGAATAAAAAATTATTTAAAACAATTCTAAAAATTTTAATTTTTTTAAAGTTTCCAAATATTTGAAAAATTTATCATTTCACAAAACAAAAAATTTTATTTTAAATAAAGTATTTATTTATTAAAAAGAGAATTTGATAAAATAAAAATTTATTTAAGAGCATTTGAACCTTCGTGACGTCACAAATCATGGCGCATGACACGCAAACTTCTCAGGTATGTGAAAAGCACAATTTTGAATATTTTTTAAAAAAACCTTTTGGAAAATGTTCAGAATAACATAGACTCTGTCTGTTATGTGCGGAAAATTCGAAATTTTGCGTTTAAAACGTTTTTTAAACAATGTTAAGGTCACAAATCATGGCGCATGACACGCAAACTTCTCAGGTATGTGAAAAACACAATTTTGAATATTTTTTAAAAAAACCTTTTGGCAAATGTTCAGAGAAACATAGACTATGTCTGTTATGTGCGAAAAATTCAAAATTTTGCGTATAAAACGTTTTTTAAACAATGTTTAAGTTGGTTGTCACAAGTAAGGAAAAAAACACGAATTGCTTATATGTAGGCATTGTTTAAAAAACGTTTTAAACGCAAAATTTTGAATTTTTCGCACATAACAGACATAGTCTATGTTTCTCTAAACATTTTCCAAAAGGTTTTTTTAAAAAATATTCAAAATTGTGCTTTTCAAATACCTGAGAAGTTTGCGTGTCATGCGCCATGATTTATGACGTCACGAAGGTTCAAATGCTCTTAACAAAAAGACAATTTAATTATAACAAGGAAATTTTTATGTAATAACCACAGAAATATATATTTTTTCAATGATAAAATATAAAATTTGAAAAGTTTTTGAAATCACTTTTTCATTGTGAAAAAACTAAAAATTTCCATTTTTTATATGAAAAAAAATACAATTTTTATAAGTTTTTTGTGTAACAATTGTTTGAAAAATGGATAAAATTAAAAAAATCTAATCCTAAAATTAAATCAAGTGATTTTAAGAAAACCCATACTTGTCCCATAGTGGCCCAAATATGGATAAAATATTAAAAAATTTTAACCCATACTACTCCCACAGTTGCCATTTTCACGCGGGATATGCTAAATCTTATAGACAGTGGCGCCCTCAACTGGTATTAAAAGTGTTGCGTGTTATTTTAACACTATTTTTGATATTATAAAAACACTTTTTTTTTCCTGTGTAGAGAATTTTTTCTTTATATACTGAGAAAAGGAGGGAGAAAAAAATGATAAAAGGAAAAAAAATTGAAATATATATTTACCATATATATATATTTTATTCTTAGCTGAGTATCTTAGAGTTAAAATATATAATAAATTTAAAATAAAAATAATATTCTTAAAAGAATAATATTTCTTAATATAAGGATTATTTCTTATTTTAAGACTATTACACTGAAAAACAAAATTTATTTGATTGAACTAAATAATTTTTATTTGAATTAAATAAACTGTATTTGAACCAATAATTTCGGTATTTAAAACAATTACTATTTAATTGACTTAAATAAAAATTATTTGGTTCAAATAAATATTTATTTGATAATATTCAAGTAACTGAATATTATTTAAATGAAATAAATTTTTTTTCAGTGTATCTTCCAACTGTAAGAATAAACTACATGGCAAATATTCTCTTAAATATCTTCTATAAAGAATTAGACATTTTTTTTTGTTTTATTTTTTCCGTGAAGTAAAAACAGAAAGTAAATAAAAATGAATAAAAATAAAAACAAAGTCATGCAAATAAATTGAGAATGAAAGATTAATTTAATTAAAATTTAGTCAAATAGAGAGTTACAGTAATATAGAAAAAGGACGTTACAATAAAACGATTAAAATTCTTGTAATTCTGGGTCTAAGTATAAGTAGTAAAAGAAAGATTCTGTCAGACAAAACTTATTAAATTCTTGAAAATGCATTATCAATTGTAAAAGACTGATTAAGTCATGCAAAACGGTTTAACTCTATTCTATAAATTCAATTTAGTAAGAATTCGTTCACTAATTCAAATTACATAGTAGTAATTTTCACTTTAGTAAAAATTTTCCCACTTTCAATTTAATGAAAATATTACTATTTGATTAATTAATATTTTTTGTTTACTAAAGTTTTAGTAAAAAATAACTGAAAATTAATAGAAATTTTTACTGATTTAAATTAATGAATAAATTCTCACTAATTCAAATTTAGAGAGTAAAATAAATTTTATTATAAATTAAATGAAAATTGATTGTTTAGAATATATATTAATTGTAAAATTCATGGCACGTACCTGCCACGATTCACCAGTCGCGACGTCATATGTAGGAGGAGGTGACGTCATTGAGGGAAGTAAGTATACGGGTTGCGGCCTATTCTGTGCATTTTGCTGACTTCCGGCGTTTCCGTTTGCGCTGGCGTTCGGTGGATCTTCAATGGTAGCGTAGAGAGCTTCCGGAATGACGTTTTCTCGTATAGTGACTCCGTATACGCTCGAACCCGAGTCTGCAAAAATCATAATGAGTGGATTTTAAATTCTATTCGCAGTTAAAAACAAAACCATAATAAAAATGCATTAGAATGCACTTTTTATATTTCAACCTGACAGAACATTATTTCAGTCGCATAAAAAAAGTCGATGTAATATATATATATATATATATATATATATATTGCGGAAAGGATTATATAGGACTTCTCTTTTTCCGAATTATTTACTTTTCGTTCAGTTGAGTACACTTTTATTGGATGCATTCCAACAATAAAAAAACATAAAAAAATACCTCAATATTGATTTCAGTAAATCCTATTAAATTGTTTATTTAGAAAAAAAGAATATATTGTCAAAAATTTATTGGATATAAACGAATTTCATATTATTCAATTAAATATAATGAGAAAAGAATTTATTATTTTCAATTTGGAAACAAAAATATTTTGTCTGTTTGTATAAAAGTTACCATGTGTATATGTATATACGATCTAAAGCAATATTTCAATGTCAATAATTTGAATGACAGTATTATTGAAGAGAAATGCATACAATCAGCATTTGCTACTATTGTAGTTACAGTTTCATTGCTCTTCTATCCAACTTCATTGTACACAACTCGACAATATTTTTCATTGAATTCAATTAATAATTCCAAATGAAATTATCATTTCTTGCAGCAAATCAAAAAAAAAAAAATTACAATAGAATCAATAGTACGTGACAGTTAAGAAATAATGAAAAAGAACCTTTAACAACAACAACAAAAAATAATGTCTTTCTCTCAATGCATGTCACGCACTCAAAATAATTTTACAATTTACAAGGATAGAAAGCTTTTGAATTGTACACTCGGAAAATGTTGTTTCCGTCCAAAATAATGTTAAATAATTTTAAAATCTACTTAACCCAGTTTTGACACCTGAGAATTCTTTCAAAGTTTCAGAAACATTTTCAAATCGTTTCATATTTACATGTAAGAAAATATCAATTTTAGCGATCAAATTTTTAATTTTAATTTCATTTATTATTAATTAATTATTAATTTTCGTTATTTCATGCTGTTTTTAAACAATATTGAGATAAATATTATAAATTTAGTAAACTTTTTGACATAAAAAAAACTTTTTTTTTGTTATCCGAATTATATTTCATATACTTTTTTAAAAAAGAAATTTTTAACACCTCATGTTTTTACAAAATTAATTTTAAATTTTCAATTTTAACCCAAAATTGAAGAATTTATTTTTTAATTTCATTTAAAAGCAGAGATTTTTTTCCAATAAAATATGTAAAGATTAAAGTGTAATAACAATGAGTTTTAGGGAAAATGTAAAAAAAAGAGCGTAAAATGTTTATTATTTACATTTTTTTAAAAATCCATTGTTTTTCCATTTTTATCTGTACATATTTAATTGAAAAAAAAATTACAGCACTTTTCAATGACAATTTTAAAAAAATCGCTCATTTTTATATGTGAACAGAAAAATGAAAATTAATTTTTAAAAAAGAGAGTAAAACATATTTGAACTTTTTTTTATCATGTAATCATACATGAAAAATACTTAAAAAAATATATATAAAAATTTAAATTTATGAATTAAGAATAAAAAATACGTGAATCTGAATATTGACAATGAATTTTTTGAATGCGAATATCGAAATGCTTCTGGATACACTGTCATATTCACATCTTTATTATTTTAAAACAAATATATGGATTTTAATATTCAAATGTGTTTTAAATAATTTTTCGTTTTTCAAACAAAAAAAAAAAATTTTTCAATATTTTTTTTCATTTTTTGACTCAATTGAACATTTTTTTTTCTTTTTTTCCTATTTTTATTGTCAAATTGAGATTTTTTTCAATATTAAGATGAAAACCTAATTTTTACCCTTTTTTTAAATTTTCTCGAACAAAAAAAATCTGCTTGGCTCAACAAATAATTTTGTTATTAGGGTAAGTCCGGGATAGATGGCAATACAGGGAGAAAAATGGAAAAACGAATAAAGTAACTTTTACTAATTTCAAAGTAAAAAAAAAGTTTTGTCAATTTTTACTCCAGAAATAGTTAAATTTACTCCGAAAATAGTAAATTTTACACCTGAAATAGTAAAAATTATTCCGGAAATATTAAATTTGACTATTTCTAGAATAAAAATTGTCAGAAATGCGCAAAAACTGCAGACAGTTCAGGTTTTACTTAACTTTTAAAGTAGTAAAAGTTACTTTATTTGTTTTTACATTTTTCTCCATGTACTTTTTTTAAATGTTCGTAAAAATAAAACGGAAGCAGTTTACGTATTAATTTTTATTGTTAATTAAACAGTGAACATTATATTTTGAAAAAAGGAAAAATATGTCAATGATAGTAATGTAAAAATGTATATTTCTTAAGAAATGCAATTGGCATTTTAGCAACCACTAAATTTTTTTTCTCAGTGCATATAGAGCAACATTTTACTAAAGTTTTAAGCCGTATTATTTAATTTTAATTTTTAACTAAGGACGTTTTGAGAAAGATTTGTTTCATATAAATACTCATTTAAAAGAAAAGAAAGATTAAACAAAAATGATATAAAAATGAAAATAATGTTACGATCTAATTTCGTTTTCTGTATATGGTTTTCTGAAAGTCATTAGATTGATAAATAGCCTTGGAATTGCAATTTCTGCGATAGGGGCGATATAGTAAACGATTTATATTTGAAAAAGTTTTTGAAGATTCTCGCATAGTTGTTCAAGGACTTGAGAAAGACGTTTACGTTTGTTTTATAGTTGAAGTAACCTTAATGGTAATTTAATTCTGAAAAAGTGAGAGAGAAGTAAACTCACCAATGTAGGTATAATGCGATTCGACTCTTTCTGCACTTCGAGTCCTTCGTGATGGATTCAATCGTTTTTCGTGTTTATGTATGTTTTTGGCAGGTCTCGTTTGTTCAGCAACTGAACTAGTACTTCCGGTATCCGATGCTCTTGATGTTGGACCTCGTCCTCCACTCCCTCCTCCCCCTTCTTCTGTTTGTTTCTTTGAAGATCTACCCTCACCCTTTGAGCCTTTCAATGGTTTTGGATTTAAAATCGTTAAACTAAGTGCCCCCATTGCGTTTCGAGATTTTGGCAAATCCAAAACTACTCCGCATCCACAAACTGGTGCGTTGTCATTAGGCATGCTGGAAAAAAAGAAGAATGTTTCATTAAGTTAAACACTTTTTTGAAATGCTTATTTAAAAAAGAAAAAAAAACTTGTTCATTTTGTGAATATTTCTCTTGAGAAAACAATTTCTAAAAAGAAAACAAACAAACATTCTGGATAAAATGAAAATTGTTTTTAAAAATACAATTTCGTTGCTTTCATGGAAAATGTTTATTTTTATAATAATAACATTTTGTGTATACAGTAGTTATAATGAAAATTTTCATCTTGATACCTTATTAACCTGATTTTATATTTCATTCTTATTTAAAATTTTATTCATCAGAAAATTATATATATAGTTGGAAATTTAATTTCCTTACTGTTATTGAAAATTAAGACACGAAGAGTTTCCAAATGCTCGCAGAGGTGACGAAAATATATCTTATCCTCGAAGACTTATTATTAATTAAAATTGTAATTATCGTCTTAGAGTAGAGGAGAACTTGATTTAAAACATAAATTGAAAATCTTATTTATGTCAGAATACTGTACAAAAACTTTTTCCCAAGGAAATGTAACTTTATATTTTATTTTGACTTTCAATTTTACAAACATTTGAAATTGATTATTGTACAAGACTGTATTTGCACTTTTAACTTTTATAATTCTTTTGAAATGAAAATATTAATTATAAAAGTGAACAAATAAGTTTTGCAATTGGAATTACTTTAAAAATTGTATTTCTCAAACTTTATATCTCAACTACTGTGATTACACTTTCTTAATTTTTGCTCTAAAAAAAGAAAGAAAGAAAGAAAGAGAGAGAGACTCTGTACTTTTGAGAAAGTCCTGAAGAATTTATGATAATAAGCAGAATGAAGCCTTTAGGTTAGACTTCTTTTACTTAGGAATTCTGAGCTTTAATAATTCCTTAAACTTTTGTTCGAGAATAATGCTCTTTCTACAAGAAGAGAAAGGAATTTACACACACACACATACATATTATATATATATATATATATATATAATAAAAAAAAGTAAAAAATTTTCGAATAAAATCCTTCCCCTTGGCATTTCCGTCTCTTAATAATTGAAGAACGTTATAATTCATTCCTTACACAATTTCCAGACATTTTAATGTTAATTATTTGAATGATGAACGAAAATGGAGTTTTAAATTTCATTTATTTTGAAATAATCTAGGCGCTGATTAAACGCTTCTATTTTATATATAATATGCAGACAGGTAAAATCATTAATTAGTGAATCTATTGAATAATAATTCAAATATTCCATTCATTAAACTAAACATTAAAATAAAAAATATAATTAATTTTGCTGGTGAATGTTTTGAAAGCTGGGTTGATTAATTAGTGAATCGTTAACGTTTACTCCTCTTTCAACGTTTCCACTGTGTGTAGTTAACTTCATAACATCGAATTTCACATATAGGCGTTTGAAATTAGTAAATTTTAACATTTAATTAAACAATAAGTAATCAATAGAAAAAAGTTTAGTTTAAACTTTAAAAACTACTGGAAAATGATTAGGGTAAGTTGGGGTAAATAGAAACAAGGGGTAAATCGAAACAGTAGTTATTTCAGTTAAATAAAAATTTTTTTAAATAAATACGGCCTCAAACCTTGAACCTTAGATCACCCCCAACAAGGTTTGAGGCCGTATTTATTTTTAAAATTTTTTATTTAACTGAAATAACTACTGTTTCGATTTACATCTTGTTTCTATTTACCCCAACTGACCCTAAGTAGTTAAATTTTTAAATATTCAAATTTTAATGAAATTCCGATATAAAATTCATTAATTACAATTTCCAGTTTAAAGAATTTTATTAGATTTAATTATTTTTTAGAGAAATTATCATTTTTCAAATTATTTAACACTCTACAGAATTTCTTTTTTTAACAAATTTTTTAGGTGTCGAATTTTTGTTTGACAAAATTTCTCTTTATCTAACTTTTTATTTGAAAAAATTCTAATTTAACCAAATATTAATTCAGTAAATTTTTCATTCGCAAATTTCGTCGCAAAATTTAAAACTAACCAATCACAATTTTCTTGATAATTTCTGATTGGTGAATTTTTAATCTTTCGCCAAATTCTTTCTGCCCATCGTTTGTCAAACATTTGTAATTTCGGATAAATGAAGATTCGGTAAATTGGAAATTCTGGCATTAAAAAATTCGAATCACTTAATATTCTGTTGCATGAAAAATTTGCTATAAATTTTGTATTTAATTAGTTAAAGATATTTAAAATCTAAAAATAGCAACGAAATTATTTTAAAACTGATTAGTGGAAAATTATATGATATTTAATTATAGGTAAAAAGTGTTAATAAGAATCAATAATTCTCATCGTGCAGTCAAAAGCAGATTTATCATTTAATAAAAAAATTCGAAATGGAAAAATCCCTAGATTAGTAATATTTGTCAATGCGCATTTATATTCACATTTAATTATAAAATCGTTACAGATAATGCCTCTCGATTGTCAAGAACCATCACGATTATTCACTAGATAATTGAATCTGTCAACGAGAGTTTCGAGAGTCTTTTCCCCTCTATTCGCTTCGGGGCTGAGGAGAAATTTCCCTATTCTCCAGCCACGCATATTATCCTTTCATCTCTTCAGCTCTCTTTCGCTGTGGTAATATATAGAAACGTTTATTGCACAAACTTTAAACTTCAACGATCTGGAAATTTGTGCAAAGATAAAAAAAAAGAATAATAATAAAAAATTATTTAATAATAAAGAGATGTGTTTGAAAAATGTAATTTTGTTTTCAGGTTTTATTAATGAAATACCGCCACCGTGTTAATAAGAAAATTCGAGGTTGATTTTCTCGGGTTGTCTTGTAGAAATATATGCCATGGAAATCGCTACATGGAAATTGAATTACGTGCTCTGTGGCGAAATGAGCTCTTGATCCGGTACATAGTACGTACACCTCATAGGGTGGTTAGGTTCGACGAAGTTGTTATGTAACCTCGACATTATTCAACTTCCGCGACCCAATTTCCTCGCGACGAGATTCAAAGTCTTTCTAAATTCCATTGCCCATACATTTCTCTTTTTAACTCCTGTTCATCGACTATGCCATCATCGCCTCGCTATGTGCACCCTGAATTAATGGCTATACGAGCACTTGCATACCATTTATAATAAGCCATAGTATATATCTTCCTATATTACAAAAAGATATTGCCGCCGCCTCCGCCGCCGCTGTTTCAAGAATTCTTGATCTAGGAGGGGGGGAGTCCCTCCCCCTCCTAAATTTTGAGGTTATGTTCGTTTCAAGGCTCTGAATATAGCCACAAGTCCCCTCCCCTCCCCCGCCAGAAATGACCTAAATTTTGAGGTTATGTTCGTTTCAAGGGTCTGAATATAGCCGCAAGTCCCCCTCCCTCCTCTCATTTCCCCTCCTCCGCCAAAAATGACCTAATTTTTGAGGTTTCGTTTGTTTTAAGACCCTAACAAAGCAGTAAGTCCTTCCCCCTTCCTTCATCTCTCTCTCTGTATTTCCCGCCAAAAATGATATAAATTTTAAGGTTATGTAAATTTCAAGACTTTCAATATAGCCGCAATTGGAGGTGGAGTTCCCGCCAAAAATGACTTGAATTTAAAGGTTATGTTCGTTTCAAGACGGATTCAATAGGGCGAACTTTTTTTAATTCATTAAAATCTTTGTTCATCTTTTTACACAATAGTTAGAGGAGAGCAGGGTGGTCAGAGTTGTCATTGCGTTTATTTCGTTTTATCACACTATACCGCCATCTGTCTTTGTATGTAAGTACTTGTTAGCAATGTCAGCGAACTTTTCACATGTATTGCAATGAAGTATACGGACAATAAAGACGTATTATGCGAGTCAGTGCTATACGCTCTACAAAAAACTTTTTTCTTGTTTCAAAAGAAGACAATTATTAAGTGCAGAAAAATATGTTAAAGACAAAGTAAGTTGACTAAAATTGTTCATTAAGATATTATATGAAAATGTGGAGCGTAATTTGGTGTTGTTTGTATCACGGGTTTATTTTGTGTGTGACATGACACTAAACTACGCCCGAGTTAGGGTTAAGCCACCCAAAATTTTGCAATTATGAAGCGTTCTTGCAATGGAAATTCATTTGTCGACTTAAACAAGTGTCAATAACTTCATTTCCATTGAAAAGAAAGAAAATATAAATTTTTGATAATCTTTTTTCACTTTTCAGACGCTTTTTATTTTTTATTTCAATTCGAAAAACGTAACTTATGTACAGTGACTATTATAAGAAATAGAGATTATGAAAAATTATATATCGACAAAACAAAATTTAGGACATTTGAATTTTCTGTGTTTTGTGAATTATGTCAAATGGTGTCAGTGAATTTTAGAAAAATAACAAATAAAGTTTAGAAAATTGAAATTTATGTAAAATAATATTTCGAAGCAATAAAAATTATACTAAATGGAAATGTGATTAGATGAAAATTGTAGATAATTGAAATTTGAACATTTAAAACTTCTAACCAATGGTAATTCGTCAAAATAAAAATTATATTAAAAGTTAATTTGATTATTTGAAAATTTGAATAAATGATTATTCGAAAAAATAAAAATTATGTGAAATGACATTTCGATAATAAGAATTTTGATGTCTTAAAAATTATGAAATTGAAATTTGGGGAATAATTATGCGCAACAGATCTTTCGAACAATATGCGAGATATCTACTAAAAAAAATCATGGAATGGCACATATATTAGAGAATATTGGAAAAAAATTAATTAAGTAAATACGACACCGAAAAGGTGATTTTAAATTTCGAAGTCCAATATTTAGTTTTTCTCCTATATTAAAATTTTATATATGCACGCAGGTGAAGTGAAAAACATATGACAGTGATATAGCTTATTTCACGAAATGTAATTACTGTTGTACTACTCAGGTCAGGTGCACCATAGTACATGGTTTGCCAGATGAGAATGCCGAAGCGGAAACTGCGAACGTTGTACGCGCGAGAACTTTAT